CTACATAACTACAGCAACTACGCGTAGTTAGACTGTCTTCCTTATAATATACCTTTCCTCAAGCGGTGGACTCAGACCGTCTAAAAAGACGATATCACCCGCTAGCCTCGCCAAACCAAGGCGTATAATGCCAACTACACAACTACAGCAACTACACGTACTTAGGAAGCCTTTATAATATAGTTTTCCTCAAGGCGGTCGATTCTAAGTGTCTATAGGCAAAGACATGAAGTCAGGCCGTGAAAAGACGGTCCCGCCTGCTACTGAAGTAGTAGCCTCACCAAGGCAAGGCCTAAAACCCTAACTACACAACTACAGCATCGGGTAAATGTTAACATAAGCTTTTCTTTCTTACTATATTTCCCGCCATTTTCCCTTGTCTATGATGTCATTTTACGTCATTTAGACGTTGTTTGCGGTTGCTTAAGACATAAAAAGGTCCAAGAAGATATCAATATTCAATCGGACACTCCATCTTTAAACGTTTTGCCCACAGGTATCCCTCTATTGCCAGTTATGAAACCGTATAAAAGTGCTCATAATAAATTTCAGCATTGATTCTTTAGAGTTAGACATTATCATATAAACCAAAATGTACATTTTTGGATAGAAAAAACACAAAATATTTTTTTATTCAGAAAAATGAAGTCATCAGCATTTAATAGGCAGGGATTCGTGGCAGTTGTTAACTTACATGTTTGTACCGAATTTCAGCAAAAGTGCTTCATTTATCATGGCACAGGTGTCAGAAATCTACATTTTTAGCTAAAAACACCCAAATAATGCGAAAAAATTGCAAACAAAATGAGCTGCCCTCGAGCTCATATCTACACTCAGATACTTCACTCAACATCGTCAGGAAACAAGCATTCCCCCACAGGTATCCCTCTATTACCATTATAAAACCGTATAAAAGTATTATCCTCTGCGTTGCTAGGGAGATGTATTTTCCTTAGCAACGGTTACCATGGAAACATGATATAAATTTCTGAGGCCCTGAAAATGAACAATTTTCCACCAATAAAAGTTTTCTTCACGTTTTACTTATGATATGCACTACATTTTACTGGGAAAGCAGCCCAGTGCCTCCTTAGCAACGGCCCTAGCAACGGTTTCCCCACAGAAGGCCTGTGGGAATAGAACTTTTAGATACTCATATCTCCAGATTGGATTGATGGATTTTTACGATTTAAAGCTTAAAATGTAGGGAACAGTGTAACAAATCAGATAAATTCATGAACCAGGCTCGAAAATGCAATCTGTATATTTGACAGGTGTTGGAAAGTAAACATTCCATTTTTTTACCAATTTTTACCGAAAAATCGAATTTCAAAACCTCATAACTTCTCTTAGAAATGACATATCGGAACAAAATTGACATTTTGTAATCCTTTGTTCCTGTTTTATCTGGCCACCAAGTAACGTTGGAAAATATTCATATTTGATTATTTTCCACTCCCCTTTGCATTATAAGTAGGAAAGGAAATGGTCCCCATGGGGTCAAAGTTCAAGGTCAGATAACAAGGTCAAAGCTGGGCACTCAACATGGTTATCATACATTTTCAAAAAGCTTGTGGGGAGGACTTTCACATGAAGGCATTCATGTTTTGTCCCTTGATTTGGTAACAAAATCTTGTCTGGCCCATGGACTATTAAAACCTTTTCCCTGTTGTATAAAACTTCTGTCAGGACTGGCTTTAATTATGTCATGACAATCATGGCATTACATGTACATTGTACTTTGTAATGTTTTGGCGATGTTCTGATTTCCATTCGCTGCATTTCAACGTGGAGTTTAACCCAAGTAGTAAGTATTAAACTGCTTCGTTTCTAATATAATGCCAGTTGATTTCTCAAACACGTCAGGGGTGTCTATTAAGAGTTACTATTAAGAGTATATGTTACTACAATCATGCCTTTAAAGCTAACGGCTTGTAGTAGTGGCCGCTAACAAGCTGTGTTTGCTTTTTACCTTGCAAATATTTGAACCTGCTGTGTCTATCGTGTGCATGTTAAATTATAGCACCGTTAGGAGGCTATTTGATAGTTTTATGTATCAATATGTATCAAAGAGCAACGCACATCGATAGGATAGTATTAGCTGAGAAAGACTATGCTGACGATAGATAAAGTGACAATCTACACCATCCATGTGAAACTTTCAATATATGATTTTCTTGAACACAAGGCTTGAGGCGTAACAGTATCCTACATTGTGGTTGTAAGGTGTCCAAGGCTAAATTGCTTTCGTCCGACTTTTTCTATAATTAACTTCATTTCCTGGAATTGGCAAACGATGCACATAACCAATGCACGTACACAAATACTTAAGAAACGTCAGAGACCAAAAATAAGCGTAAAAAGTTCCCACTATGTAATTGTAGGCCTGTACCACACACAAGAAGGGGTGGGTACTTTTTTAAAATAACCTCTTCGTTCTACAGACATTGACAAAGACACCGTGACAATTACCTTACTACCATTGCTATCTCTGTAGGTTTGAATATCTGAGAAAATACATTTATCAGATTTGCTAAGAGAATTTTTTCAATTCAAGTATGGCACGGTGCGCTAGTCCTCAAGAATCAAAACACGGAAGCGTTTACGAGTTCCGAGTAGTTTTCCACTACTGCTCTTCACGTGCTTCTATTGTGGTGCGTACTATATATTTCGTGCTATATATGGTATGTGCATTTTACCTGGCGCACCTCAAAAGCAACAGGTGAGTGTATTCTTTGTATGATTAATCAAAAGACAAACATCAAGATTGTGATAGAGAAACCCACAAATATATCATATTCCAAGCAAATTGTCTCTAGAACTTTATAACGATATATACTGTACGGTGTCTGACACTTGAGACTTTTCAAAAGAACAACCTGGAAGTCTACTATGCGATTTACAGCTCTGGTGAATCACGTTTAAAATGCTCCATGTAGTTTAAAAGAAAAGAACTCCCGACCTATTTTGATGCTCCCAGGGATCATCGATAGGATTATGTGAAGAAAACGTATGTTGAAAACGGTGACATTTCTCCAAGGCCTCAGACTTGTCTATTTGTCTGTCTGTATTACGCCACTATTGAAATAATGTTAACTCTGAATATCTATAAATGTTTTAAAATGTTAAGGTGATCGTTTGCATTAGTAGTTTGAATCTGCACTGTTTGGGTGCATGTTTTGCAACAACACCTTACGGCTATGCACGGGTCATTGGGCACTGTTGTGACCAGGCACTTTCTCCGTGGCTGCTTTGTTGTGTGTCACACCTGTTAAGATACACTTGGGGTCATTCTTCTCTTTCCTGCACAAGGAGCATTTATAAAAGCCGAAAAACATACACACTGTTCTTTGAATCATTTTAAGAGGTATTTTAGGGAAGTGCTCAACAGTGCGTGCTTCGATCAAAGATCTTCGAGTCAAGTAGGAGTGCCAGGTACAAAGGAAGCATGAATACAAATGCATCGTATCCGCGTTGAGAAGGAAATCTTTCTAGGATGAAATGTGCAATGAAATTTTTATATCTGATACAACTCAAATGACATAGCCTCTACCAGGCTTCGGGGGGCGGCCAAATAGAGAGATAGCATGCCAGGGGAGTTGGTCTGCTGGAGAAAACAGTTTGCCGCTCCCGGGTGCGACAAAATGTAGAGTAGTCTCTAGTGGACCAACTCCCCTGGCATGCTATCTATTTGACCGATTTCTACTCTTTCCAGCCGCCTCCCAAAGCCTGGTAGAGGCTACGAATGACAGGCTACCGTCTTAATGAGATGACAGTGTCTTATGTAAAGTCTTAATTGGAAGCGAGTTTGTTAAGTCACTAGCTCATTAACATCTTGGGGAATCCCCCCGTGACGAATCCATTACATGAGGGGGTGCTGGGACATAGTTTTCAGATTATTAACACATAATTCCCAACAAGGAACGAAAGGATTCACTAACAGTTGACAGACATAATTTTTTGGGATACCATACTGTATAAAAATCATCTACCTTGTGATAGAAATACACAGTAGAGACAGAAAGGTATACCTAGCGTACCCGCAAGGTGCGCAAACTGCTTTTTGGTCCTACCGGTGACGCGCTATTGACACAAACCCTCAGTTTTCCAAATGCAGTCCACGCGAGCGCACGTAGGCCATTTTCAGGTAGGTTTTCCCTCGAGAATACCTAATTTCCGGTGTGGTTTTCCATGGGGTTGCCACAAGGGGCTTATAACAACCACTGGAATGCGGTAGAAATGTTAGTATTGTTACATGTCGAGTGTGTGGGCAGCTAGCACGTAAAACAAGGTGTTTGTTCCCCCATTCAAACTACCTGGGCACGGGGGCGGATAGGATTACTAATTATTCAGGGTCGTCTGCGTTACGTTTGCCATTCTAACGTTGTTTTTCTGGATTTCACGGTTTGTAAACAAGTAAGATACTGGCCGATGCATAGGACTTTACCTGTAGATAACATGAGCATGCTATCCCATTTTACTGACACCACTCTGCGCTCTGACCGCGAAAAATCACCGAAGTTGCCAAGTGGTTATTTAAAATGGACTAAAAGTACTGATTTGATCCTCTAGAGATTTATTGAAGAACGTCCCGTGTGCATTTAGACTTATTTCTCTACGAATAGAAAATGTCATGTTGGTGTGCACACCATCTAGCCTAGAAAATATTCCGGAAGAAAACTGTTCCACGAACCCATAACTATTTTGTGATTAAGTCGACTGGAAAGTTCCACAGGTGAGCGAGCAGTGACGTCAGTGCCACCCCGTGACTGTTACTCATGTACATTTAAGGTGCGGCACTTTTGGCCCGGGGCCAATACAAACACCTCTACGTCTAAACAGACCGCCGCCACACTAGTACTTCTTCGCCTGTTAGTACCCACTTTAATTTGGCCATTTGACATCTACATTTTGTATATTTAAGTCTATATTCAGAAGTCTATATTCAGAGTTTGTCATGATTACATACAGATTAATAGATGTTAAAAGATAGCACTTACAAGACGGATTATCACATTCAAAGTAGGAGTCCCAAGATTGAGTTTGTTACAAGAAGAAATTAAAAAACATACTTCATTCAGCAATCTCTAAACTCCAACTTCAACCGGCTTTTTCACTCAGCAGCAAACAAATCCAACCGCCCGCGTACTCCAACATGGGATTGAACAGTAAAAGGTCCCGACGAGAAGCTAGGTGTTCACTGGTGTACAGCTGATACACTAGAATAGGGCACACCATGGAAAAAAAACACACGAAATTCCAAGTCAATTTTCCCGGCAATGCGACCTGTGCGTTCTGTACCTTTACATATGAGTACAAGTGAGCACACTTGTTCTGAGCCCGTCTTTTATACTTTAGTGTCTGTATCTAGTGGTGACTAATAACAAATTTTCCAAACATGTCTTATAAGGTGTGGAAGGAATGAATCACCGGCATACTTGGGTGTAACCTTAGACAACAGACAGTCACGTGACGTGAAGATACGGTGTACGATATGTCTACGATCATTGAAAAAGCTCGACCATCAAATTGATCTGATGACCTCCATTTATTTACCTTTCGCAACTTAAAATATTATATTCTAAACATGATAAAAATAACTTGTTATGATAAACGAAATACGTTTACATATTCACGTTCCAAATACACAAAAAGCAATAAAGCTGGAGATACAGCTACAGTGGTATGATTTCATGCTGTATTAGTCTGGTTTAATATAAGGAGTGCTAACTCCCGCCACCACTACCACCACAACCACAAGCACAATGGCTATGAAAATGTACAAAAAGGTTTAACGGCGATCTTTTGTCTTTCGGTGTCTTTACAGACTTTCAAATTGGAACTGCGAAGATGATGGTTACTATAGGACTTCTGGCGCTACTCCTCGCTTCCGTAAGTGATTAAATCTTATACTAATACCATTCATCAGTTATAAATGATGGGCCACAAGCAACACCAAGTCAACATTGTTTACTACAACACCACCGTATGTGACAAGAAAATACAAGCCCAAATGCCACTAAAACTAGTAACATGTGTTGATTGAAAACAGGGCTTCCCTGGTCTAGCAGCCGGTGAAGACTGCAGCGGTGATTCACAATACCTGGACATAGACGGGAACTGTCGGTCTTGTAACGAAAAGGTACGAACCAGCACTTTCTTTTCTACTTTTCACTAAAATGTGACTCCCTGGAATGTTGTGGCTGTCATAACCTACATTGCTGTCTTGATTCTTGAGAAATCACAGTGTGTTGAATGGATGTTTTTATTTTACTGTAAAATTTGCCACCGATCTTGTGCCCTTGGGAAAGGCATTTTACACGACTTTCCACATTTACCTCAAGTGATAATGTGTATTGTCTGCCGCTATTTGTGTCTATGTCTGGGACACAACACCAGCAACAGCCGCCTGTGTCCCACGTGTATTGCACTGTTGCAATTTCAATAAATCAAATCAAATTTACTGTAAAATCATTTATTCCATGTCTCAACGTTACAGACTTGTCCGGCGGGGCAGAAGGCAAAGCAAGATTGTGGATCTGGAAAGGACCTGATCTGTGAGCCCTGTACAGACCTACCATCGGGGAAAACCTGTGCAAAAGGAGTCGAGCGGGACTGCATCTCTTGTAAACGTCAGCACAAGAAGACGGCTCGGGAGTGCAACGCCCACCTTGACAGCGTCTGCTTCGGATGTCTCGACGGGTATGATACCGATGTTATGCTGAATTTATCTTTCCGACTTGCTCATGGAGTTTCATTAAGCCAGCGGATTTCAGTGATCAAGTTAGCTAATTCAAGATATATATTATCGAGGTTTAATGTCCCTTTTATAATCTACAGGTACTTTCCCAAAGCTAGAATCCAGGGAGAAGTCGACTGCATCCGGTGTGATGCTGAAAAAAACAACAGATCTGAGTGTATGGTTCCTGAGAATCCTGTGATTAAATGCGCCCCGCCGGATCCGAAACAGTGTAAGTGTTCCCAGCAATGTCTACTTGAATGGATATATTGAAATGTACCACGAACACTCATTTATCTGAAAAATGTATCATTAGATGAATTTTTATGATTGACTGCTAGTTAAGTAATATTTTACCACGCTGCCAATTAATTCTTTTTCAATTCATTCTTATACTGTGAAATTGTTATCACTTGTTACCAGATAAAGCAAAGCTTGAAGACGACCAGCATTACAAAGAGTCACAACGTTGGACCGTGATTGCGGCTGTAGCCCTTACAGCTGCTGCTGCCTTGACAGTCATCGTGGCCATTTCGTTAAAACGAAAACTCTGCAAACCACACGGACCCTACCACAGGGCACCAGGCCGGGATCCCGAGGCCCCTTACACGCCAGGTAAAGAGTACTGGTTTTTGTACATGGCACATATTTGGAGAGTGATATCTTACTAGCGTCACTTCTGACAAAATCTAAAATCGGCGAAAAGTGTTCACTTGGCAAATGCTTGCTAGGGTCACTTCTGACAAGATGCAAAAAGTGTTCACTTGACAATGGCTACAAAATTATTCTTCCCCTTCAACAGAACGTAGGCATCCTGCAGTTGCAGATAGAGTAGAAAAGAGTTCGACCCTCACCGAAGAGTCTGAGGACGACCAATGTCGAGTAGACACGAACAACAAGAAGGTCAAGTTCACTAAGGCCAGGGCAAGGTATGGAAGGGAAAGATTCCTCAAAACTAAATTTTATTTTCCTGTGGTTATGAATTGTCAATTTAGCCTTTTGAAATGAAACTGAATTTACTTGTTTTAGTAATATTTTGGATGAAATGTTTCAGCTCCAATCAGTCGGAGGATGGACAGAAGTTACTGCAGTCCAACAATGTCCCTGATTCCAAGCGCCCCAAACTGAGTAAGCATTTTGTTTCCTTTGCTAGTCATGTTTGTTGGGCTATTCAACCCATTCAATGTACTGACATGTAGACATAAGGTAAAGACACCAAACTAGACAATTATTGAAAACAACAGTCTCCCTATCCAATGAATTTGTACATGTTCAACACTACAATTTGTATCAATGTTGACAGAACTCAAAATGCCGAAGAGATCATCGGTGGGTGAACTAGAAGTCCGTGTATCTGGATCAAGAACTTCGTCACCAGGTATTGTAGGTGTTATCTGTTTGTTTGTTTGTTTGTTTGTTGGTTTGTTTACTTCACCTGAATGAGTATGGTAGTAATGCCAGGCTATGTACTTTCCATGTGGGACGATAATTGTTTTATTCCAACTGAGCTTTGATATTTACATACATGTTTCTTTCTAGTAAAAGCTGTGCCCACCCCAAAGAAGGGAACTCCGTCTCCATTCCCAGTGAGTGACAGGGAAGAAAACGTGTTCTCCTATCCAGCCGGCAACCAGCCAGTAAATGTTCAACCTGAACTGCATGTTATTGAAGATGCCCAGGTACGGGAATTGATGTTTCATATGCAGCAACTTCGTGATGTGATTTTATAAGATTTGAACATATATCAAATGAATTTTACTTATGTTTACACGTGCACGTGCATGGGATATGATCAGCAAAGCTTAAAGATATCAATGACGTCATTAATGTTGTGCATTCTGATTCTAATTTCAGGAACCTTTTGTGGAACCTACCACATCACAGACCTCCACACCAACAGGATCTCTGGACCTTTCTGGTATGTTCTTACAGTTCTTGATAAACTCGATACGAAGTGTGAAACAATTCTGTAATCTAACACCGATTTCTTGTACAAAAAGTTAGGTCTATTTCCAAGACAGGGTTATTGAAATCGCGTCTACAATGTTATGTTATGTTTTCTTACACAGGGCAAACGGCCAGACTTCACAAAGACAGTCGGCCCAACCACACAGCAAATGACTACGCAAGCAACCTGGCTTGGTGCAAAGAACGAGCGTCCTGTAAGTTTCACGTGAAAACTATTTCTTACATATACATCAATTCGATTAGATAGGCTCATTTAACTCTAAACAAACATTAAATCATTAGCTCGGTATAATTTGTGTCGGAAATGAAATGAATGAAATATATGTAATGGATATCAAGTGATTTACTTTGAAATATTGTATTTCCTTTTTCAGCGATTCTGCTGGATAACGATTGGTTCAGCTACAACATCCAGCAGACGTTAGCGGTATACCTGGACAGGTTACCACCGCTCAGCTCCATGCCGACTTGGAGGACCTTCTTCGAGCGTGGCTTCGGCCTTACGAAACTCGACCTGGACGGCGTCAACACTCAATCTGTTCCGAGCCCAACCCTGGCCCTGTTCGCAGTACTTCAGACCCGCACTGCCAAGGACAGGCACACCGTCAAGAAGGTTTTAGAAACCCTTCACGATTTGATGCTTTACGACGCGGCAAACTACCTTTGCGAGGAGCTGTTAGAATATAAGCAAAAGCCTAAGTCATGACCAAGCTTTTGTTAGATATAAGCTAAGATCTAAGATATAAGGCTAAGAGCTAAGACTTCCACACCCTAGCTTCCTTTCCCTAGTTGGTGCGATGGATTGCTGTAAGTCCAGTGCAGATGAATGCCAAGCTCATTAGTACGAGTTACTGGTGCTCCTCAGAGGTTTGCCACTGTCAGAAGGCTTATTGGAAGTACTGCGAGTTAAGCCTAATATGTACATATGATATGTACTTAACTTGTACTTGTACTTGTACTTGTATGGCAATAAGTGCAAAGCAAGGCTACGAGTTGTGGAGACTCGAACACTCAGAAGAAAACGCGCTTGTGTATAGTATTACACTTTGCCTATTCGTCGTTCAGGTTCGCTGGTGAAATGGTAACTCTGTGGCCAATGGATTCAGCCTGGTCAGTGTTAGAAATACCCATCTGCGTTCTGCATTTTGCAGAGAGATTTACAATATTGCAGAAGAACCCTACAACCTGCAATTTTGCATTATCAAATTGAGAAGGTCGTAGTATGGAGGATTGTGTATTTGCAGAAAGTGTTTCAAAATTTTGACTCATCTGCAATATTGCAGAACACTGAAAACAGTATTTCTACCACTGCTGGCCAATTTGATTCTGTCTTTGCAGCCACCTAAAGATAGATCTGCTTGGAGATTACATTTTGTATACTTTTGTTCAAGGAACTTTGTATTGTATACTTTTGTTGTTGGAAGTATGGCACGCTACTGTAAATGGTTGATGTAGAAGGGTACATTGTTGAGTTGTATCTGCCATGCTTTTAGAGAGGGGATGGCGTACAATGATTTTCGGTGAATGCTTTTCGTCTCAAACGACCGAAAAGTAATGTCGCATTCTGTGTAGCATCACAGGAAATATGTGTTAACATTGAAGTGACCAAATGCACTATGTGTGTTGCTATTACTGCTCTTTTTGTAGCAAGGACTCTGTGAAAAGACATGACATGTTGGTTACCATTCTATGTGGATGTTTAATAATTTGTTGTGTAAATACTGCTATCGCTACTGCAAATACGATGTCTTGCTTTAGTGCTTGCTAAGAATTATTTCTGACGAAATCTACATACATGTACTATTATGATGATGATGGTGACGACATTGACTTTTAGACCTCTGTCTGAATTAAATTATCACAAGTACATCGTTTTGCCTTGTGCCATTATTTTTACTAACTAAGGATGTAACAGCTTGAAATCTTATGAATACTATGTCAGAATACCATGTGATAGTGTAGAAAGTTTGAATGTATCAATAACAATATGAAAATGTTATTTTAGGAATTCTGTTGTAGTGTCCATTTCTAGTCACCAAATACTAGTACCTCCCCAGTTAGTGCAAAACAACAGTCTGGTAATCTGATAGCCTTGGATCTGAGCCAAGAGCCATGTGACCACCACAGCCTCAGGTACTGTAGTTTTCCATTAGGTAGTGTAGCAGTATCTTTCCACGCTAGCTCGGTACTTTTCCACAACGTCAACATTCTAAGTAATGATGCAAGCACAACCGGGAAGCAATTTTTGAACGTTTTTGGTTGTTTTGTTTCACGTGAGACATTCTTTTGAATGTTACCTGCTATAGTTTAACACTTCCGTGATACTATACTTATACCTTATCATCTTGTTTGTTTTTGTCAATTCAAGCTTCAAGTGTGATAATTGTAATTTTTGTGAACTATATGAAAAAAAGAAATTGACAAATTATGTGCATGGTACCAAGTGGTACAAAGAATCAGGACGCTCCACCTTGATCGGTTTCCCCTGACAACCAATTATGACGTGCGCACCGCGCGAAACAGTGCCTCTTTGTTCTCTGTTTGTAAATGTTACGTCACTGTGCTGTGCATACATTAGGGCCGGACTGGCAGGGGTATTCCCCCGTGAAACACCCCCAGGCCCAGGCCATTGTCATTTGGTAACACCGAGCTAGACGAGAAAGCCGCACCGCGGATTTGCGGCGATATTTCGTGAGGAGGAACGCTGTTAGTGTACCCCGGTGGGATATAGCGTTGCTCACTAACAGTCGTCTGCAGATCATGAGCAACAGGTGGGAGTTTCTATACTGACAACTGTGTGTGCGTGTGTGTGTGTGCGTGTGTGTGTGTGTGTGTGTGTGTGTGTGTGCGTGCGCGCGTATGTCCGTATGGTGTCCGTGCGTGCGTGTGTGTGTGTGTGCGCGTGTGTGTTGTGTGCGTGTGTGTGTGTGCGTGTGTGTGTGTGTGGGCGAATGTGTGCGTGTATGCGTGCGTGCGTACGCGCGCGCACGTGTGTGTGCGTGTGTCACTGCCTGTTCATTTGCCATTCTCAAGTATTACACATAGTCAAGCACATCTGTACCAAAAATTATCATGTTTGAGCACGTACTAGTAATGGCGTGATAGATTTTAAAGTTTACATATATCGAATGCAGATTTTACTGTGCAATTATCCCCAATACAACAATTCTATCCCTGTGTATATATACTTCATGGTCATATAGCTATGGTTAATTGAAATTGCTCAGTTGAAGCCAGTCTGCCCAGCCCACTGTAACTAACTTTTCTGCGTACTATGACGGCAGCAGTCGCATAGCAACTCTTGCCTGAAGGCATTTAGTAGAACTTCGTGCCGTATATGACATGGAGGTCGCATGGTGTATTACTAAAAATAAAGATAATTGTGCATGATTACAAAATTGTCTATTAATCGCCTCATTAGAGAGGGGAGTCGTGATCCAGTTGGAACTATAAAAGTATAGAAGAGAAAATGTTTGCTCAACAGTTTCTGGGTATTTGCAGCTCTCCTCAGAAACCATGAGAAGGCGGGAGTTCCCCCAAATAACCCAAAATTCAATCTCATACCACGACAGTCATTTGATCAGCACCATTATTTGAAGCTATGCGTTTTTCTTCATTGTGCAAATATGCAAATATTCTACCTTATGCTGGATACCTACCACAGATGCATAGGCATGTTTGATCTGGTTACTTTGAACTGAAATACTTAACTGTCCTGGAAACTTAATTGAACTTACAGTCTAGTCTGCACTGATCTCAGAATGCATATTATGCGCTATAAGTAGCCTCCATAGCATGCCAAAAAGTGGGGGTTTGGAGGGTCTTAGCTTCAGGTTCTTTTGGGAGTTTTTGTGTGCTATTTTTTGATTGCATATAGACAACATATCCGGCCTGGTTGAATTACCCCCGTTTACAGCCGAAGACCACCAAACGCCCAGTTCTATCAGCCTACTACGGAGGCTACGCTATAAGGTCATTTCAAGCTCTATGCCACAGGTTTCATTTCCCAGTGAACAGTTACCTGCCGATGTCTATTTTTACCCCACACCTCACCTGAGTCTATTGTGACGTCAATGCCCCGCTTATTTACGATGTCTTGACTTTGTTTTGTTTACCATTGACCCCTGATCTTTGTTCACGGTCTGCCGGTTAAGGTAACTTACAAACGTCACTGTTACCATGGAAACGTTTGACGTCATTAGAATTACGCAGTGCTTCAGTGATTCCTTGGATGTGTCTGATTTTCACACACGCACCAGACAGACCTCATACTGCAGATCAGAGCTGCGCTCTGCACTCCGTAGGCTTAAGGTTGGTCTAGCTGTGGAACCATTACATTTCCATATTCATGTACATGTTTTTAGTATCTGATATTATCGTATATTGTGGAATGAGTATACATTTCTATAAGGCACTTGTAAGTTTAATGCAAACGAAATTGTTTCTCAAGTTTGGACACGTTGACTAATTGAACTACTTCCGTCAGCATCTATTTCTGTTCCACTCCTTTTTAGTATTTTCACTTTTGACTAGACATGCTGGACTTCTAGAGTGAAATTGTTCTGGGCATGTGTTTTCCCGTAGTGGGTACTTTATGATTTCATGTGTTAACTTTTTCATATGCAAGACATTCAAAAGCAAAGTGGTTTCATGAATAGCCTATAGGGGGCATTTCAAGTCTAAGCTGTCGCAAGTGAGCATCCAGTATCGTTGTACTGAACTGTCAATCAACGTGCAGATCATGTGACGTTCTCATACCATTAATGTCAGGCAGGTAAAACGACCCCTACGACCAAGAATATTCTGCACCGGGGATTCGCGTGGTTCTCTAAATAACAAGAACAACCACTCTCTTTGTGTCTCTGTGAGTAGTTGCATTATTAAATCATCCTCGGCCACTTGACAAGCATGTGATTGTGACTCATGTTATCTGTGTACTCAATTATGCATATTATAAGCGGGCATATGGTTGTCTGTACTTTATGCCTCTTAAAAGTTTTCACAGAAAAGTATCATGATTACGTCGGTGAAGGTTAGACATACAGGTAATAAGATATGCCAAAAACAGCTTGAGTAACAGTCGATCGGTGTAATATACTTTTATATATAATTAGTAGTCAGCTGCCGCCGCGCCGCGTGCCTGCGAAGCTGGTGTGTTACACCGAAAGCCGGCTATACAGATACAGATACAGATAGTAACTGTTTTTTTAAATATCATGATTAGTTTGTGGCTTTAAATGACAAGTAAAACATACACTTGTCTGTGTATGCAAAAGTGATGTAAAATCTATCTTTGGCCATTGTGACAAGCATGTGATCTTGACTGTACCTGTTTACTGAATGAGAGCATGTAGTGTATACAGCAAACATGTTGTGGAGTGTACTCCTGACTCTATGACGCACTCGACCCTCTACAGTACTTATTAACCAGACAGACAAATAAACTACTGTTCATACTACATCCATTCAATTGTAGGTATGACGCGAGTGACGAACAGGTTATTTTTAGCGTATACTTCAACCGGTCTTGATTCCAAATGGAATGACAGATTGTTTCCAACCTGAAATTAACAATCTACTAGTGCTAAAAATAAGATGACTGCTTGATAAAAACTTTCCCTAAGTATTTGAGCTACTCGAGATGAAAAACGCGTTTGATCCAACAAAAAAAAACAAGGATGACAGAAAGTTCTTATTTTAGTTTTTCATCGAATTATGTACAATTTATATGCCAGACAATTAGTTAGGTTGGATTTTTGGATTTTCTTCATTTGATTGTTCTGTCATCACGTCAGCTAAATGAGAATGTTTACCAAGATAGCGTGCATGTCGAAATGTATGTCGAAATGTACAGGTTGGAGAAAGTTTCTTACCTCTTGGTCTCTTCGGCTGGCTCCAAACGAATTTCGCAAATCCAATGCCCACTGCCGGTCATACTGTAGATAATCCATTGGTCTGTAGATGAAGCTACAGCGTATCTCAAATCCAAGGGAAATGTTCCGTTTTTTAATCCGAAAATGTTGCTGTGTTGATGAAGCTATTGGTCTGATTCCTCCTGTTCTTCTCTGTACACTGACGCAGCGAATTCCAGATTCCTCTCTTTTATACCCTGTGAAAACACGTGACGAAACGGCAAAACTGAGTCATACATCGCATTAACACATGTGAGTCGACAAAACAACGATTAGAATTACACCAGTCCTTATAAGGGTACATGTGGGCGGAGCTAGTGCTGTAAGTAATCGTCTCACTTGTCACGACCTATGACCTCATGATCACTGCAGGTTGCCAAAGAACGACACCTAGCGGAGGAAGCTAGTATTGATCAAAAAGTCGTTTCGGCAAAACCAAGGGTGGCATACTCCTAGTATTGGACCCTGTCTGGCCAATGGATACTGATACTGTCCTTTGTCACCCTAGGATCTGCTGGGAGATTACAGTGCTTTTTTAAAAAAGCATGTTTATACTTAAAAAGAATTCACTAAATAGTTAAAAAAAATTCACTAAATAGTATGTTTTTTCGTACGTTGCAGAACTGCATGACAGAGAACACCATGGCCATGGACCGACGTACATACAAGAGTTCACTCTTCTTCACAGCAATTCTGTTTTCTATACTCATTTCGGTAAGCATTGCCCTTTTCTTGGACATGACTATTTCGTTGAACTATTTGATACATGTTCAGTGCTGTCCATGTTTGATATTTGTGCTAATATAATATGATATAATATAAGGAACAATACATGGGTGTCAAACATTTTTTGTTTTTCATTTTTCTTGTCCAGCCCGCGACTGCCGACCGCAGGTGCAACAAACCTTACAGATACCTGGACTCGGACGGGAAGTGCAGAAGATGCCCTATTCAGGAGGTAACCTCGATGTGACGTTATTTCCATAGACGGTTTAGTAACAGTATACTGCTCTTTATGATCAATCTTATCGTATTTTATTGTCTCTCTCGCCAACTTGAGCATTACATGGTCAGTGGTAGTTTTGATAGGACGATTGGGACCAAATCCAAAGAAATTAAGATCAGATCTTTGGTACCTATATCACATCTGTCCATGACACAAAAAATACATGTCATTCATAAAATAGGGACTATGTCACAAGCAGAGAGTTCGACAAGAGGTACCTTTGTGTGTCAGATTTGGCTATTATCAAGTTCATTACATTCTATTTATTGATATGGTTGCAGAGGTGCGAAATCGGGTTCACCATAAAGGAACAGTGCGGTAACGGCAAGCCGCTACAGTGTGTGGAGTGTCGTGAGGAGAAGGGCTTCACGTGTGTGGAGGGAGTCAGACAGTCCTGTATCCTGTGTGACAGGCTGAACAGGGCGGAGAAACACCCCTGTACGGTCAGGAACCAGGCGGAGTGCGGAGAGTGCCTGCCAGGGTATGTGAAGACTATAACTTATAATATGTCCAACCACTGAGTAAAGAGACTCTTTTTACCAACCAAGTCTTTTATTCAGCCGACGTTTAAATTTCGGTGACTGTCTGTCACCTTCCTCAGGGCAATTCTGACTGGTTCAAATTACTCTCCAAGCAGAGGTTATGGGGGAATGATCGTTAGTTTTTTTAATTGTATATACGACCGTTTATTTTGTAGCTACCCCGGTGGCCGGTGACCTTCTCTTTTGTAGAGTTGTACAAACATGATTATCGCAGTATTGTGCATGTAAAATAAACAAACATTTAGAGGAAAGCAAGAAAGCAAGGTACTGAGATGATTATTGAGAGTAGGATTCCGATTTCTACGCAGGTATTACAAAGATGACTGGTTGGATATGTGCCTTGATTGTTCTGAAGACAGGAACAATCGCCCGGAGTGCAGGATCACTTCTACCACAAGGCCAGCATCAGTCAAAACATCAACAACACAGTCACTAAATACAGCCATAGGCCATCGCGTCACCATGACAGCAAAGCAAGGTTGGAAGAACTTCCTGTTGATGATTAGGGTTTGATTAAGAGATTTGTACACCTGCTGTACAATTTCAAATATAAAGCAAAATACAAAGTAAAGCCTAAAAAAGACTACCCATTTTGATCAGGAGGTAGATACACATTTACTAGTAAACATCCCTGTCGCGATTTCCTTGCTGAATAGACAAATAAACAAATAATCAATGAATACATGAGGGGCGTTTTGGCCATGAATATTGATATTGTAACAGGCAAGACCCTCCTTGTTATCATTTCATTCTTACTCATACCATTGACTCCTCTGAATTAAGATTTGTTTTGCTTTGTACAGGAAATGACCCAGTAATAAAGACGGCAGCGAAGACAGATCATCGCGTTCTGGAGAGCACCTGGCCATTGATGCTGGTTCTAATGTCAGTGTTCATGGTCATCCTGGTGGTTCTGATCGCCATGTATGCCTACAAGTCGTTGGGCAGGCGTTGTGGGAGAAGAGAAAAATCAGAAGAAGTAGCACCTCATTCTAAGCAAGGGTCCCCGCTCAGGATGAAGGCTCTGGCAGGTATGTGGACATTTCGTAGTTTGTCAAAAGCTCTTACTTGTAAGAAAAATACCTCAGGCAAAATCGACGAAAACTGCAAAGTTCGATGACTCGTAATCTGAATCTCATCTTAACTTTTGCAAATCGGCATCATGCCAGGTCAGAGCTATACCTTTGTGTGTTGTACAAAAAGCGTCAGCAAAACCTGAAATTTACATTTGACGTGAATCACTCGACTGAACTTGGATTCCATTGTCCTGTTGGTCTAGACATGGCTGTAATAGAAGATGAGACTGACCCCCTGACCAGCACGACAACAAACAACACAAGAGACAAGAGGAAACCATCGCTGAACACCCAGCTGTCTACAGGATCGTTCCTCGTGGTGCCGGGCACACAGGAAGAGCTGCAGCTCCTCATGGCTTCTGCAGCCAATTCCGAGGCAAATAGTGCAGTCAGCACACCCTCAATTTCACCTAGAGCGCGAGGTAGGTTTGATTTTGTGATATTAAGCATCTCAGTTAAAACAAATACTTATATATTTTTATCTATGTCTGTTCTCGCTCAGCGTTAGCAGCCGGACAGCCTAGACAGAACACTGTCAGAGTTTTGCGCAAATTTGAATATCTGTCTGTCCCTGATAATAGCAATTTCCTTCGGAAGATTGTTTCAAAGTTCCATAGTTGATGGTAGAAAAGTTTCAAATATTGTTTGATTTCGAATATTGAAATTATCAAAACAAATTCGATTTACATACATTTTAAGCTACTCATAAAGACTTAAATATTGATAATGTACATGAACGTGGCTTGCAAGAGAAGGTAATGCTTACCCAGTTGAAAAACTACACTCTCTGTACAGAAATCTGTTTGAACTAAAATTAATCTCTGGCATCCTCTAGTCAAAACCACAGCACCCCTCAATAATGAATGTTCTAAATGATTACAGGTCTCCACAATCGGGGCCTCAGTAGTTCCAGCTCCACGACTACCATGGAAGACACCGCGGGTCAGTCCGACGATGTGTTCAGCGATCATGGTGAGTGATGTTAACGTAAATGTTCAACATCCACAGCATCGTTACGTACTGGGTTGCTTTGTGTCTTGAAAATAAGGTTTCCATTTCTGTTTAACCTTGCATTTCGCGTGCACTGTTAGGCAACTTTTGGGCCAGTCATCCATATTTATTCTGGGCTATCTATTTCTCACCTGTTGTGCCATATTTCTTTATTTTGGCAGAGGAATATAGCTCTTTTCAAGGACTGCAGTTACGGCTAGATGTGGAGGCAGCTTTCCCCACATCTCTACAATCTGCTCCGGTGATCCAAATCACTCCTCCCGGTCCTGGGGACAAATCTACGAGAGACCGCTCCCCCGTACCCTCAACCAGCCGGGACTCGGTAAGAATTTTAAAAACATATATTCCAACATGTAATTACAAGACACTGACAGTGTTACAGGGAGAAACTAAGGAATAGGTTGTAATATTAAAAAAAAAATATAACAATTACAATGTTCCGCACTTCCGCACATTATCTATAGCACCAAATGTTGCTACAAGGCATTTCAGTACATATATGTGTACTGAGGACTTAAGACTATATTCAACTTTAAGCTTTATTCATAATCACTTCAATTGTATTCTGTTTTGTTGCTCAAAGGGAAAGTTTGCTGGAACCCAAACTACAACTTTCTTCACCGCTGGTCGGCACGACTCCCTACAGAGCAACTCCTTGGAACCAACTGACGACATCTCTGATGTACCAGACCAACAGGTAGATGATGAACATCAGCCTTTAACACAAACTCCCACTGTCGACGAGGGACAAGACACCAAATATAGAGAGAAGCTTGACACTGCCCTTAAGAAGGGGAAAGGTACAACACGACTTTGGACGTATATCACACTGACACGAACAGCTATAGTTATTGTACAATATAAACTGATGTGTTCAGTTGTGTTAACTTTCTTCATTGTATTGGCAACAGTTTTGTCTGTAAATTGAATCACTGTCCGCCTCACGTTTGATATAATATCAAAGGGATATAAGGTTATCAAACTATGTATCATTATCACGACTGAGCCTGGCGAGCCTAATTTAATAATACGCGAACAGGAAGACAAAATTGATGAGCGTTTAATCTACAAAATATGCTGTAAGAGAACCTAATGTCCAATCAGATCCTAGGTGGCAAAAGACAGTATCAAATTGGCCAAGCAATATCCATACGCCATATCCATAGCCCATACGCCACCCTATGGACCCTCTCTGGCGAATGGATACTGCTTGGCCAATTTGATACTGTCTTTTGCCACCCTAGGATCTGCTTGGAGATTAAGAGAACCTAAGCTAAGCTACGTTTCTCTCGTTTGGCCTGCAGACATATCCCTGAAGGACGGTCTACAGAGTTATGACGTTGTACAGCGCCTGGCACAGATCCTGGACCAGGGCGGCGTGCTGCCCACAGACCCTGACTACCAGAACGTGTTCCAGGCACTGGGTGTGCCCAGGGACAAGATTGACAGCTGTCACAAAAACAAGACTGTCACCAGCCCCACGCTGTCGCTCCTGCAGTATCTAGAGAGCTACACCCACAGGTACGAGAAGAACATGTCAGATCTGATAGCTGTACTCCACAGGTACGAATCTTACGAAGCTGTGATGTACTTGTGTACTCAAGTCATGAATTTCAAGCCTGAAACAGGCAACTTGCCTAATGTGGAATGTGAGAGCTAAGGATATGTTTTTGATAGTACATGGTTTATGTTAGAAGAATTGAATACATATCTATATACCTGTACAATCCATGACCCTCATAGTTCTGTACATATTGGTCGATTTAGTGTAAAGGAAGTATGAGGACTGGGACTCATATATCATACTGTAGTGTACTTTTGAGAGCTGTGAACATACGTTTATACACGTATGCGTTAAAGGGTTTAGGAATGATTTAATGAAAGATTGCAAGGTTTGTTCAAAGTCTCATCATTAGAAATGGATGAACATTGTGTATAGTTATGTTTTTGTCAAAACTATGTTCTGACATGGTTCTTGATATCGTATTAGGATCCTCATATTGTACAAACTTACGTTGTTGTATATGCTGCTTTACCAAGCTTATTAGCTGGTGTTTGAAGCCATAAGGTCTTAGTGACTGTAAAGAAATGTAATATTTTTGTACATAAAAAACAATGTTTTGTACCCAGTGGTCACATAGGTAAATGCTGCATGTTCAGTCAGATCAAAAGGTATAGGGCCGAGTATCATGCCGAATGTGACATAGCCGTGTTACACAATGGCGATATCTGTATATTTTATTATTTGTGACATAGTAGGATGACAGTTAGATATACGTTTGCAAAGTCATTAAGTTGCGTGAGAACGCGCTCCAATAAAAGATGCCATAGTAACATTTTTTACTGTCAGGCTGGCTGCTATTTGTTTTGGGAATAAACCTATCCGGTGTCGAAAAACCAACTTGTATTGATTGTTTGATGTTGTATAAACTCATGTCCCTCTACAAGCGATTTATATCTACTATTGAGTGTCTACAAAAATATTACAAATTGTTCCAGAAAAACAAACAATAACAACACAGAAATACAGAAATATGATCTTCTTACTGAGTTTGATTACCCACTCCCAAGCTGTCTTACGGTCAAACCTTAGCTCAAGAAGCACTACGCTAAAAAAACATATCTGTGGTCTTACATGTCACATTTCTGCTTTAAAAATATTCCCAGTTCTACAGTGCTGCCCCATAGATTATATATCACTTAATACTGTGATAAATATTACGCTTAATACTGTATTCTTTAATGGTGGACGAAACTAGAACTCCTTTGATTATCCACTCAGAAGCTGTCGTAAGCTAAAACTTAGCTGTTTCCCAAGCAAGAAGCACTATGCTAAATGGTCTTACATATGTCACATTTGTGGTTAAAAATACCCCCAATTCTACAGTGCCATCCCAAAGATTCTATTACTCAATACTGCGGTAAATTCATGCTTGATGCTTGTCTTTAATAGTCTTTATTTGCAAAATAATGGTGGACAAATATCACGTATCTCCAACCTGGGTTATGAGGATGATGCAACTCAAGCAGCCTCGTCAACAGATTCTTTAGGAGAGTAAATAAAACTACCCAGCCATGCTACAATTGCATAGCCGGTCTCTCTCAAATGCGCCTGCTACCTATGCAGTAGGGGAATCCCCTTTGTCACGTCAGCTGATGAAATAGAGTCTCGAGTCTGATGCAACGCAGAGCCAGAGACCTTCACGTCATCCACCCACAACGGAACGAAGGGGCAGGTAAGTATTACACCGTGAAGTTTCTGTTCCTGATGTAATCCAAAGTCTCACTAGACGAGTGTAGAAATGGTGTAGAAATTCTGTCTGTGTTTTAATGAAAGGGGACTATATTACGGCAGGTGCTATAGCCGACCGTCTGACCACGTGAGGCGGGGCACGGGCGAAACGCCGGCCGGTCAAATCTGTTTTTTTCTATTAAGTTCTAAATGTTTTCCTCCTATTTTGACACAATTATTTGATACCTCGGCATTAGCTGTACCGGGGTATCAAACGTTAGGTCTTACTTCGTGAGGAATGACCAGAGCGATGGCAAATTGTTACTTTAAGACCAAGGAGGTTGATTTCGCAACCACTTCCGGTCGCCATATTTTGACACACCTTTTTTTTGCGTAACGCACGGTACAGACTGATGCCTAGCTTTTGTGTGTGTGAAAATTTGTGCAGAGCTATGTGTATGCTGAGAGAGCCTCCACAGAAATTTGTTGGTTGTACATCTGATGTGTTTTATTTTTTTCACATTCAAAAGTTTGCCCTCACACTACCTCTCTGCCTTTACATTAGACTCAGCAAATTCTTTAATCTTATTTATCAATTACTGTGATTTCTCTCTGAATAAAATGCCCAAAGGCAATGTGTCAAGAAACTTGATTCAGTAAATTGAATATTTCGGAGGCCACTACTTAGAACATTAACAGAAGAACCCGACAACGACACAAAAAAAGGGTGCACACCATGTTACTTTTTATTCAGCATACTAGGGCCCTACTGGTATTCACTGTTAAAACTGTGATTACAGTTTTAGTTTATATCAATAGAAATAATTGGGAATGAATATGGAATCATCCTTTTCACATTTGTGCCAAATACACATGATAACATTGCCGCAGTAAGGTTACAGGTCAAAGGGCAAATTCTTTGCTCTCTGCTCACCTGTTCAGGTGTATACATGTACGTGACGAGAATACAAATTGCCTTAAAAGCACAAAGGTCAAATTGTGCACATTGGAACTAGACGCCACGAATACCATTGGTCTCTATATTTCCATTATTAACTTACTACTGTAATCTAAAGGTTCTAAAGGGCAACAGAGGCATCCTTGATTTAGTAAGTTTTGTCGCAATCTCAATGACATAGTGACGTTAAGTACGCTGCGTTCTTTAAATAAGGCACAGTGGGAGCGGCCCCTGTTCGGTTGACTGCACAGAAATGTCCATGCTGTGAATAGCCCACTGTGCAAGTCTACATACCTGCTTAAGTCCTAACTGCCTTTATGTGCGTCTGTGTGCGTTCCAAAGGAAGGGGGCGTATCGATTACTTAAGCTACTATTTACATTTACCTGGACGTTTCCCGCCAGAAAATATGGCGGGAAACTATTTAGTCAACAGGATTCACCTGCAAACGACATATATGAGTTGCAAACGACATACGTTTGAACAAACCTACCTCTGCGAGATCCGTGCTCCCAGGTGATCATTGCACGAGTTCCAACTCGCTCTTCCAGGACCCGGGTACACAGTCTCATCGGACCTTGGCCTGTAGTCGATTTGCAGACCAAAGTCTACGAGTCGAACCGTTGACCATTGCTGATGCAATCGTCTTCGACCATTGCCTACCAATCTTGCCTACTTGCACAGCGTTAAGGTTCACTAGTTCACGAACCATAAAATCTGCAGCAGGCTTCCCATACTTACACGAAGTTTTAGGAAGCGTGAACAAAGAAGGCCTCTGCATGCCAGACAGGGCTTGTTCGCCTGAAGGCACAGGTGAAACTTAACTGCCAAACCCCACAATGCTTTGCGCGACTGAAACAAACTTAACAATTGGTCCATTGAAATGTACAATGGACTTTGCGACATTGCCCTATCATATTTCGTACATACTAAACGACGCTACACATGTATTTCTTGGATGTACCCCCTCTGCCCAAAAAACTGCACAACATATTTTTCTATCCACACATGTTAATAATTCATGCTACTAAGTGATACACATATACGTAGATGTTTCTATGTCACTCTTCATTCATACAATATATTATCATTAAAATCACACAATACGAATTGAGTTGAGTTTGATGCGTTTATTTTTATCCATTTTCATAGATGCCGCATAATGCAGTGGTTTATGTTGCTTTTTGGGCATTGCTAAAATGTCATTTTATTTCACTTTCATTTTCATTTGCAGCTTACCCTACATCGCAAACATTATATTGCCGTCGGCGATTTCCAACTGATCCTACAGTCATCACATCCTTGAGGATGGCAAATCATACAAAACACATCCTGGCAGTAACAATGGGGCTCATATTCGTGGTGAGTCAAATGACAATGAAATTATCATAAAGCGACAGTTCTCATTAATAAAAAAAATAATGCTAACACAGCCATATTCCATATAGGTATAAAAGGTGATTTTAATCTAAGAGTCCGTGTCTCTAATTAATTTTTTTGATGAAAGACCTTTACGTTTGTACGTTTGTGCTCTAACAAGCTAAGTACAGGTCATGACTAGACAAGGAAAAGCATACAGCAATGACACTAAAACTATACAATGTATACTAATGTCATCTATTTAATCGCATTAATCAAATGGGCATTTCTAGATTGTCATTGCAGCATATTTTGTTGTACTTTTTCTGAAAGGCATCCCTGGTACATGGACAGCGCTTACGCAATGGGAAAAGGTCGGATATTAGCTGCGGGGCGAACTACTACGTAGCCAGGACCAGTTCGGGATATCTGGCGTGTGTTCGATGTCCTAGGGTGGGTTTCCTTTTCTCTTTGCCCGTTAATTGATGTATACAGCAGTATTTGAGACTAAAAACTAATATAACATACAAGCGCTTCTATTACAGTTACACGTGTAACATAAGTTTTCGTACGTGATAATGTTTAAAGATTTTCATTATCTTAAACATCGTTGTTTTACACATTTTCTTGCTCTATAAGCCTACCTGGGTTCATAATGACATTTGAGGAGTAAAAGATCAACGTCGTTAGGCCGCAAAAACGCACCGGAAGCTGCCGAACTTACCCGAATCTAAACCGCTGTTTTTACATCCGTTTTACGAGCCTCCTAAAAATACAGCGGGCCTGGCGCAGGGAAAGCGAAATAGCAACGCTCATACGTTGCAAGTTATTGGAAATGACAATCTAGATGAGAAAATTACAATTATTTACATTATGATGCAAAAACTCTTACACAATATCGCTTTAACACCAGAGTTGCGATCCTGGAACTACAATTGAGACCCAGTGCGGGTTCGGAGTACCACAGACTTGCCGTCCGTGTGAACTCACCCCTGGGAGGACGTGTGCCTCCGGCGTGGAGAGGTCGTGCGTTCTGTGCGATGTTTACGGACGTACTGTGGACGTGGAGTGTAACATCTACAACCAGACAACTTGTGGCGATTGTAAAGAGGGGTGAGAGATATGCACAACTTCTCTATTCATACATTTTTCGATAGGAATGTCCATAACTACAAACATACACTTGTTGCAGTGTGCGGGATACGATCTATGTAACAGCTTATATTTGATTTAGTATACCATACATTTATTAGCATACATAATAAAAGTCAGATTTAAATGTTTTCCAGTTATTACGAAAATTTGGATGACGCCAAAATCGGCAACACCCGCTACTGCCGAAAGTGCACACCAGCCGACTCCTGGCGACAACAATGCCAACTGCAGCCCACCTCAAATGAGCAAATGAACACGACTGAAGTACCAACACCTGAGCGAGTGATTACGACCCCATCCGTAACCCCAGCTAAACCAATTGAAACATCTGAGCAAATGAACATAACGTATCCTACCGCCGTCCCTCCAGCTGAGGCGGTAATCTTGAGGCTAGGTCAAGCGACTAATCCAACCGAAGGTAAGAAAAGAAAAATGTCAAAACTTTGGCGGTATACACTGACTTTGGTAGCCTGTGCAGGCCTCCGGACGGGTGGGAGTTTTGATAATGCGTTTTGTAGAATTTTTTACGCGTTCTGTTGCCGGCCATCCTACACCCAGCCGCCCAGAGAAGCTAGTACGTACTACCTGCCATGGCGGCCTGCACAGGAGGCTTGACATTGGTCTGAAGTAGTTTTTGGTGGTCTCTTCTCACTCTTGGGCAGTAAAAATTACTATACTATACTATCTGGAAAGATCTAGAGGCTTCAATGTCAGTTTTGTTGACCAGAGTAAATCAGAATCTGTTTTATCGTTGTTGTTTTGGATTACTTACATGCACCCACGCCAATCAGACATATGCAGAAGAAAAGCACAGTACTGATGGTGCCGCCATCAAGGCTTTTGAAAGCTAAAACTGATATATCCCACTTCCACATCTCTATCTATTAACAAACATGGTGACATACCTTATGCAGAAGCGGAAGATAACTCAGTTGGATGGGGAGTCATTGGTGCTGGGTTTGCTACAACATTTCTGATCGTCCTCCTATTTGCCTACTTCGTGTACCGGTACCGTTCTTATGATGGACAGAGGAAGACAACGGACATAGAGATGACAACTCTTTCGAAAGTTGTGGGTAGGTTACCTCTGCCGATGCTGTAGTTTTATTCCTCTTTTTGTCAGTGCCCGCGACGAAAACGAATAAGTGCCTGCCCCATTTCCAATTTTCAGGCATATTTTTCTTCAACCAAGCAGGTCAAACAATTCAAGTTTTAACGTTATAGTCTTATCTTGTCGTTGCGTTTTCTGTACTTAAAGCTAAACGAGAATGATTTCCGTTTCAGACGTAACAGAGCAAGATGTGGTGGACAAGTCTGCGTCACTTTTCCAGTGCAACCCTGTTTGTGCGGGTGAGCAAACTTACAGCAACTTGATTGACGGCCACTTAGATTTCTCTGTTGGTTCCATATTTGTGACTTTAAAAGGACAGAACGCAAAGACCATGGAATATAACCTTTTCTTAACATGTTGGTGTTCCTCTGCGCTTTATGTGTCGTCCATTTCTGCCATAAATGTGCAATGTAACGTTATGGCCCAATGTAAACGTACGCGTCTATTTACAGATATGTCTCCGAACTACCGGGATCTTCCCGCAGGCAGTTGTGGTCACGGTGTGGTCCATGTCCCCCACGGCGAGGTGCACGTCCCCCGTGTTACCGACTACGACAGGATGTTAGCGCTGGGGAAGGATGTTGGGAAAGGTAACGTTTTGTCTTACTTATTGGCTTGCGCCCTCCTCTTAGTGTACCAAGAGATAAAGGGCTGACCTAGGCTTTACCCAAGCAACCTTTCATCTTGTATGGACATTGCAATAAAGATGATTTTAAACCACCCACTTGAAATGCTTGTTTGTCGCTTTCCTTTCACCATTAAAAAATTGAAAAATACTAGTACTAACTTTCTCAACATCTACACAATTACAAGAAAAATCTAATTAGAACCAAAGCAACGTAAGCAAGTTTCCCCGCCAACATTCTACTTCAGATAGAGGATTGCAGCTAAGATGTTGTTTCTTCTACCTTGAGCATGTACCTTGCAAAGTATTGCATAAACGATAAACAATGCCATCCATTTGCCGTATGCATTCTATAGCAAAATTGCGATGACTGCTATCTCTCCTTCTCTAGACATGTTCATAGAGGACCATCTAACCATCGACATGCAGCAGACAATAGCCGCACGAATCAACCAGCGACCAGCGACCTCCGGGCGTCCTGACTACAGGAACTTCTTCATCGACCTGGGGGTTGACAAAGACACCGTCGCGGCGGCCAACGCCCCGGGGATAGAGGATCCCTCCGAACGGCTGTTCCGTGTTCTGTTGGCAGAATCGCCTGCCAAAGAAATCAAGATGGCGGACATCCTCACGACCTTGAACAAGTACAAGTTCTATGGCCTTGTCAAGGACATTTGCAAGCAGATTACTGACGACAATGCCACAGAACCAAAATGAGTTATCACACTCAAACATTGCAGGCCATCGCGAGCAAGAAACAATTTCTACAGGCTCTCGTTCTTCCCCCGCACCATCAGGGAATGTGGAACGAACTTGAGCCTGGTGCGGCGGAGGCGGGGTCTCTCGCCCAGTTCAGATCTGAACTGGCGAGGACGCTGCTGCATTGAGCCACTCCATCACATGTAAATAGTACTAACACATTAATCAGTTATTTACATTCCCTTCTTTATTATCCTTTTCTTTCCATTTGCTTATATGTATAATTTTTTATTCGGGAACTGTTATCATGATAACGTTAGTCGACGTCGTTGTAAAGGCTGTTGTATGATTGCCTAATTTTTGTTTGTGTTTGATTTCTTGATTGCTTCTCCTATTGGATGAGAGAAATGTATTTGGGAATTAAACTTACATTAGTTCCCGCTTTAGTGCAAAATAAAGACTAAAGCTAACAAGGCTGGTCTCGCTGTTTCGCTCTACCACTACGCCACAGACATATATAAGTTCAGATCTATTGAAGCTGTATGAAGCCAGGTGTTTTAGGGAGACTCAAGCATACTCCATGATTCATATTGCACATACGTGATGTGGTCACGAAAAGTAGATAAGATATGATAAATAAACAGCCTACCTCTCCTAAAACTCGCCATTTTCCTCAAAAACGTCCAGTTGCCTTGTAGAATGTAGCAGTGTGCAGCTTGCAATACCAAACAGTGGAAGGTATTCATGTGAACTACACACCTGCAAACAAAAGGAAAGCTCTTTATAGAAATCGTTGCCTATAGCAACGGCTGACGTGGCGAGTTGAATATACAAAGCAAACAGTGTTCTCTCTACACAACTACACAGATGTATACTGCAGAAAGAAGTACATGTAACTTGTTATAGCTTTTCAACAGATCGAGATACAAATGTAATGGAAAGCTGCCTATAGCAACGACTGACGTGTTAGCGACTTGAATATACAAAACAAGCCTTGTTCTACCCACACATCGGAGAGGCAGGAATTTTCCGATGACGTACATGCATAATCTCCAAAGGCCACAAACATAATCTTCCTGTACATGATTGGTCAGAGATCATGTGAACAGGCACCATGTGCCATGCAGCTAGTGCGGATAGTGTTCAGCACCAAGGCTAGATACAATGCATTGTCTGTGTGGATGGTGTTCAGAACCAGGGTTAGGTTGGATTGTCTGTGATGGTGTTGAATGATTGTATATACGCGGTTCTTACCAAAAAAAAACAAAAACAACAAATTATGGTACTTTAAAAAGCCCTAAATTAGCGTTTCTAAAAAAACTTGGGGTTTCCGCCTGTGTGTTAATTATTAGGGTTTTTGAGAACCCTAACAGGAAGGCGGCAGGTCAACCATCAAAGATTCTTGCACGTGCGCCCGGTGTGCCGTGTGTGTTTGGTACCAAGTGCATGACAGTAACCGACCCTAGACATAGTGGATTAACAACCCACTGCCCCTCTAGCTTCAAAAAGGCTACGGGACTACCTTTACCCACCCTCCCGAGCAGGGTTAGTGGCTCGGCCCGGACCGAGCCACTAACCCTGCTCGGGAGGGTGCCTTTACCTTTTCAAATGTGCATGCATATGTGTGTCTAATTAAAGAGACCAAACACATGTATGTAGATATCACCATTCACTGTATTTCCAGATTTGATACATCATTAGTGAAATTGTGTAGAGCTTGGAATATAATATAACAATCATCATGAAAACGCAGCAGAAATGAAGACTTCTCTGCACACCAGTTTTTCTTTTGCCGGGCTGTGATAGCTCATGTGATACTTAACAAAATAAACAGCATTGCAATAAGCCCTTCAGAACATGTAGAACTATGAAATTCTTGTCTCTAAATCAACAAATATGACAGTCTTTGTTGGAAAGGAAGTCTATATAGTAGCACGTCGGCAGAACGTACTGCACCTGCGCGAAACCCGTAATGTATTGTACATAGCATTTCGGTAGAATAGAATGTCTCATATAAGGTTGTATTCGCTCATATAAGGTTAGCATTTCGACAGTAGTTTCCAAATGTTATGTTGGAAAGAATATCCTCTGCAACAGGCAAAATTCTGATGCAACGTTGACCAAAAACCCAACGAAAAACAAAAAAATATGGGGTTCTGCGCAGGCGCAGTACGTTCTGCCGACGTGCTAAGTCTAGTATGTGTATATAGATTTATAGTTTTTTTTTTTTAATTCAGAAGATCTATTTTCTAAATCCATGAAGATGTCTTTTCATTCTAAAGAAAATTCCAAACAATAATGGCCTTTAACCATTAGAAAAAAATATGCAGCTGCTTTTTCACTTTCAATATCTGTCAACAACAATATGTATGTAGAGACCATAGCTTGCTAGTACATTACTAGATATCCCTGAAAATGGAAAAATCTGTTAGTAAGAAAATTTGGTACAATGACTTTGTTACTGGCACACCTTATTGTCAATATTAGAGGCCTCAAACAAAAATAGTGGTGAACATTGACCTATGGGCTGAGAGATGGCCTGAACATTAAGTCTACTGACTTCACATAATACCATAAGGTGAATTGACTATCCATGAAATGGTATAAATGTAAAAATACACCATTCAGCAGAGATGCGTCATCCAGGATACTGGTAATTGTAGCTAATCAAGCCACTGGATGGTTGCACATGTATTGTTTTGTGTACTACAAGACTTCATACTACAGTCATTACCAGTGGCCAGCATCAGACATCAAAACTACATATGGATATTAATAGTTTTTTTAAAAGAATCCTTTGATGCTTGGAGGGAATGAAAAAAAAATCAAATATCATAAATTCTGGTTATATGTTAAAATTTGTTGTAGATGAAATACATGCTTTTAGCAGTTAAGCAATAAAATCGTTATACAGCATAAGAATTCACTACTATGTACATGATATGCAAGACAAAATCATACATGTCTTGGCTAGATTTCCTTTTGCAAATATGGTATGATTAAATATCAACATGATGTTAATCAATTAACCATGAGGCAAGCAAATTACTGAAATTAACATACAGCTTACTTACACCACTGTCATAAAATGTAGGTCACAAAAGTTCCTGCCTTCAATGACCTTCAGAATACTGATAAAAGCACCACCTAGCAATCAGTAATAAACTGCAGGTACAAAACTGGCACCCATGAAACAGGCGCCAACCAAAACTTAAGATGGCTTTTCAAGCCCTCTATATTGTTGCAACAGGGTAAAAGAACAGCACCAGTGCTGACTTCCCCATCCTTGTAATAAAGCAAGAGTAAAAAAAAACAACAAAAGAATCTTAAAAGACGCCATTGTTACAAGTTGTAAAATGTGAAGTTGATACTGCACACTATATGTATAAGACACACTCTAGATTGGTCTTTGTAGTAAGTGAACTTCTCCTAATATCTACTATCTAGATATCATTACATTTTCTTTAAAGGTTACAAAGTATACACAATTGCTGGTGTCCTCACTGAACCATCTATTAGAGTATAAATGTTACCAGTCCCTCTGTCTAGTACTACCAGTGGTGACAAAATTCATCATCCACACAGAAGTGCCCCCTTCTGGCAAGGGAGAGTACTGCAATCCATGCAACTTACAAACCCTGTCCAAATACAGTATTGGACCAGCCAGATTTGAGACCAGACTATTCCTGGGTGCATCTAGGCACCCGGGAACTCCCCTACAGGGTTACGGGAAGACTTGTAAAACATTTCATACCATGGCATCCTCATCAACCAACCAACCAACCAACCAACCAACCAACCAACCAACCAACCAACCAAACGACACACAAACATACACGTACATGAGAACAGTCAAACACACATCGTAGCACAGGTGATGACACCCTGTCTGTAGTGGCCAGTCACTCTCCTAAACAACCCTCCTCAGTTTCTCCTGCAAACTGAGCCTTGTCAAGAATAACAAACATACAAGTGTAGTACTACCCTGACCTTGTCACAAGTGTCAACACCGTGACCTTCACAATCTAAACAGCGTTAGATTCGACCTTGGCCACAATTTCACTTTTCAATGATCACATTTGACCTTCAGGTTACTTGGGTCCTAGTACAACCACCTGGTGACCCAGCTGTCTTCACTGCCAAAATAAAGTTGACATCCTTTGGTCTTCAACTCTGACCTGCGGCCTTTCACCCCTGACCTCAGTGTCGCTTCTTGTGCAGCGCCAGGTGGTCGGACCGAGAGAACGACCTCTCGCACTTGTCACACTTGAAGGGCTTCGCGCCCGTGTGTTTCCTGTAGTGCCGTGTTAGTTCGTCGGAGCGGGCGAATCTCCACGTGCACCCGTCCCACGTGCATCTGTATGGCTTCTCTCCTGCAGAACACACAGATTGGAATTTATTGAATGAAGACATTTATCGTAAAAACATACCTGCTGGGTTGAGTACGGGTCACAATAAAAGAACAAAATACAGAGAATGTAACATATATACATTGTCAAGTAACTACTGTACAATTAAGTAAATTCAGCTTTTTTTCATTTTTTTAGTAATGGTAAAAAGGTAAGAACAGGTATGTTTCATAATCGAAGGTATGTCTAAAAAAATTGACTGTACTGCTTAGGTGTATGAAGCAGGGGAACATGGATTGTGTGTATCAGACTTTTATCAGTTCTCTCTGTTGTATAGTTAACATTATGTAGTATATTATCTTGAGGAATTAATCCACTCTACTTAATATACTATAGACAGATTGAATTAAGGATTTCAAGCCCAGCTAGTAAAGATAAAATTCAGGTTCTGGAATGCTTAAAAATAAGCCAATGTCCCGAGGACCCTGCATTGAAGTATTGATGACAAAGAAGTGTCCCCCACCTGTATGTGTACGCCTGTGTGCCTTGAGGTGGGAACTTTTGGTGTAGATCTTGTTGCAGCCTTCGAAGTCACACTTGTGGACTCGCCTTCTCTTCTGTAGCTCGTCCTGAGGATCCAGCTCAATCCGCTGTCTTAGAGACGCAATGTGGGCAGGGGGCCTGGGGAGGGGGGGACAAAGTCATGTTATATCATACCCGGGCCGTGATAACCTGCGATAACGGTGTTCCAGACCGTGTCGGACCGCCATGGCTCCCATAGAACTATTCGAATGCATTTCACCCTAACTGCATTCGCCACTTTCAAAAATTTGAATACAGAATTCGGATGTTGGAATTGATGGCATTTTTGGTTTAGGGACACAAAATTTTTGCTCATTTCGCATTGAAAGGCATGTTTTCTTGGGTGGGTACGACATAAATAAAATACAACACGGTGTATTCCGCATCACCCTCGGTCCCTGCCTTCGGCCGTCGGGTGATCCGACCTGTGGTCAGGCTGGTACCACAGGTGATATGGAATACTGTGTTGTATTCTGTATGTACAGAGTCATTGAACATACACGTTTATTTGTACTGTAAAAAGCATGTTAAAAAGTTATAGCCTTTCCCATCTAGAATACATACTGTACATGTAACCCTTACATGTTTGCTGCCTCTGCTATGTTGATGAGAGCAGACGAGCCGGTCTTGTTGACCGTGTCCAGCGTGACGGTCGGGATGTCGTCGTGGCCGTCACTGTTAGTTGCTGACGGGATGGTGAACGATGTGGGGACGGGGATGGCGATGTCATCACTTGAGCCTGCCAAAAATAAAGTAATCAGGTTGGTCAACCCCAGTGATGAACCGGAAAGAGTAAAAATTCTCCTTAAACGTTGACTGAACATCCAACAAAAATCATGAAAAATCTGGATTTCACAAAGGCACAGTATGTTATGCCAACATGCTATAACCGGTATATATCATTGTCAGCAGGTATGTTCACTGTCAATCTGCTTAGCATGCTGAAGGGAGACATGAAGCGCAGAGGACTAGGCCCTCCCACAACAGAAAAGGAACTCCAAGAGCTAAGAGAGCTTGTGAGACAGAAGACACAGTGAAAGGAAAAGAAGAAAGACTGAATGCAGCTGCCATTTTGGCACAACAGCAGCTGCAGAATACAGTGGATTGATTGGATGATGATGATGTTCACCTTTAGCGAGGTTACTCCTGAGGTCGTGTATGGAGACTGTGGTGATGGGCAGGGTCTGAGCCAGCGTGGTGACCACCGTCAGCGGTAACGTGGCCACCACCTGTGAGTGCGGCAGGACCGGCGGAGACACCAGCGGCACCACGATGTGCTGCAGGTTCGTCCGCCCGATCATCTCGCCTAACGTCGCACCGTGTCCGGACAGCGTCGACAGTTTCGTCGCCTTGACCCCGTTCATGGAGAGGTCTACGGGCTCGTCTTGGAACGCTCGCTTCTCGTGTCCTGCATCCATCCCTTCATCCATCTGGTCCTGAGACGGGAAGAAGGTTTCTACATCATTAAAATGGAATACATGATATGATAAACATAATTAATGGTGAAGTTGATGAGACTCTAGCCTGCAGGGGTATTGACATTTGCTGTGCCCAAGAACCACAGGACAGAGGCAAATGGCGAGCTACCAACAAGCCCCAGCATTAGAGTGCAAGCATGTCTAACCCTGGGTTTTGGGGAACAACAGGCGATAAACCAGATAGAGAGAGAGAGGTAACCATGGCTGAGGCATAACTTCAAAATAATTTGTTTCTATCTGACACGGTTGTCTTAACAGCTGAAAGAAATTCTCACAGTTGGTCTAGGTTCTGCTGTACATGTACCACGAACATAGTCATCCTCAAAGCTCTTATTAATGCCCGAGATGGTAAATGATTGTGTGTGGAGTATCTAACAGACTGAGTAACAGTCAATAGCACATAATCCCCACATATCGAGTTGTGTTGTGTAACTTGTGTTGTTCAACTTTAAAGAATGTGACCTTTAAATATGGTAGCCAAGGACATGAAGAGAGGTCCTTGGCCCAGCTACAAATGCACAGACCCCGAACCACACCCCTCATTATGTGCTTCTCGCATTTTGCACACAAGACAACAATGCAACATTCTCAAATTTCCTATGCATAAAACATCATGTGAAAAAAGCAAAGTAGCTTTCCTTTATATAGAACTATTAGAAAGCATAACTTATACATTATATACCTCAGGCTGTGAAGTATTACAGAAGTTACAATGTCTGTAACAGGCCTAAGATATACATTGTACTGGAACAGGCAGTAAAAAGAGTAACACGGTAACAGCTTTGGGTACAGTTTGAAGCTTGCTTTATCACTAGTACTAGTAGTAATTGGTTAATCATAAAACATACCGATATCACGTGAAACAAGACATCACAGCATGGACAGGGGACACAAAGAAACATTGACAGAAATACTGGGTCATTACGAGATAGACATAACACCGGTATGTATGGGTGTGCCCCTTTTGATTAGCCTAGTGACCCTGAAATGACAGTCTACAGAAATGACAACCTGTACGGTTACCAAGAAGTACTTCAAGTAGAACAAATTTTCTACAAACTAAGTTTCCTCTAGATTGCCAGTTTTAGTGACACACTTCTTTAAAAAAACTCATGTTTTTCAGCATGTGTTTGTTGCACCAAACTGACAATGTCCATCCTATAGGGTGGGGAATCTGCAAAGAAACATTTCTTGTCATTTTGCCAACTGTCTAGAAATTGTTTGTATTGTATGATTAATCTGCTCAACCAGGGGTACAATTAAAAGATTCAACAACAAAATTTCTTACAAATTCACCAGTTCTGGCCTTACTAGAAATGGCCTCTTTCACTATCATGCTACCCAGACAGGGATTTACTGGTATCATGTCTAATATAAGTTTTGGTAGTGTCAAGAACATTTGTGTTTCTAAAGAACTACATGTGTATAAACTTTAAGCATTGACAAATGATATCTTAAAAGACTACTAAATAAGAAAACAAGATGTCTTTAGGATAGTTTCCTTCAAGCAACTGTTCCTACCCTGTCTCTTTCTCAGAGGGTCTTACTTCACTGTTTATGGTAAATACAGCTCTACGACTGACATTTCATGTTTGACAAGGTCAGTGCAAAGCTGTGTCTACTCCCGGCACAAGTAGCACCCCCCAACGGACTCCAAACAGGCAAATATTGACCAACAGCCCTGTACAAACATCAGGTGGAGGGGACCTTGTTCCACCCTGCTCCTCTCTTCCTGCTAAACCAGCATTGATCAAGGATCACATCACTTTTTTCCCAGTAATTACCAGCTCGTGTCAACAGGACGTGACTTGTTAGAGAGGCACTGATATCCTATCATTGTAGCAATGACTAACTCAAATGCATTGAAACGTGCAGTTTTTCTCCTTTCTAAGCTGTAATACCTGGAGGATATCTCCCAACAACAATGCCTGATCCTACCTGGATGATATGTTGAAAGGAGCCACACCCCCAGACAGGTGTGGCAGGCGGCTTTACCTGTTCAGACTTGTCCATGTCAGCGGGGAACAATAGATACTTGAAGGGTCGGTTCAGCTGACCAAAGACCAGAAAATGGACCTACGGTGCCTTAAGCCACACACTTGCAGACAATCTACTTACAGGGTCCAGTTTAAGTCTGATTACTTTGGTTCAACATATTGGTGATAACCAGAGTACTTAACTGTTAACAACAATCTTTTCTTTGCAAAACTTCTTTGCAAAACTTCTTAGCCACTGCAGTGAGTTATGCAGCTATGAGTATGAGTATTGTAGAGGGTGTGTCTAAGACAACGCCCCTCTGCTATAAATATAGCCTCGGGTGAAATCTCCAACATGATTTCTCAGTTGGCAGGACTCAGACATTAAAAAGCTAAGATGAAACAGCTTGAATCATTCCTCATGAAGTAACGCCACCAATACTTCACCTGCCAAGCAGTGATACAAATGTACCTAAGCCTGATACAAAATGAATCATTTTATGGTCTTCTTTTGTAAACGTAAGACAACCAAAACGTAAACAAACCGGAAAAGGTTTGGTCACAGACAGCGTGGCATAAAATACATCCAGGATTCTTGCACGGTTTTCATCCATAGTACTAGTATATGGCTCAAAGCATGACAAACCTGTGAGGACTTCAAAACTATTCTTTCTTCTAAGGATGTAAGGATCATCACGGCTTATCGTTTCCAGGATCTCAGCCACCCCCAACGACCCCTACCTGACATGGCGGGTTTGTTTTGAGGGGCGTGGCAGGGCCCTGGGTGTTACCAGACAAAATAAATCAATCTCCAAAAGGAAACAAACCTCACCTTCAGAAAGGTTTAACCCAATTCATCTAGTGTCTAACACAGGGAAGTGTGTCAGAGAAAGTACAAGACAGACCGAACTTACAGCAGCTCTAAGTCTGACAAACTTCCAGTCCTTTCTTGGAAAGCAGTACCATTTGTTTAATGGGGGTGTGGTGTTGCCAAAATAGTTACACCTAGTCAAGGAACTTGTGGGGTCTTGGGTATCAAAATGCTGAAGCAAGATTTACATGCACTTAAAACAAACAGCCTTTCTTGATAAAAATTAACAAATAGTATCTTTGAAGTTTAAGTTGAATCAACTACATGTACAAAGGGCCCAAATGTAATTTCGTGGCGGATTATGAGAAATGTAAATTCAAACTAAAAGTTGGACCCTGAAAAACCATTCGTCACTTTTTTTACTGCACACTACCACGTACCTTGGTCATAGACGAACTGAGTTGTGCACCACTAACATTGCAGCTACAACAGCATAGTAGCACTATTTGAAGAGCATAGTTAGTTCTGTAGTAGTTTTCTCTCCTTTCCCCTGACATTGACTTCATGTTAGGAAGCAAATACATTTTGGGTATTTTCATTTGAAAACAAAGTGCACACCAAAAACCAAATTATCCCACATGCAACCTTGAATATGCAGGATGTCAGTAAACTAACAAGTATCAGCTGTGGCATATCCTGGTAAGACCATATCTGAAACACTATAAATTTCCATCCGTCTAGACTTAAACGACAAGTTGCTCACTGTGAAAGGCAAAACTTTCAAACACCCTACTGCAAAAACGGTATTCAACTGTAACAGACCACATATTTACGGGCTAACTGAAGTGTTTTGCATAACATATATGAAAGGTATGTTAACAATGATACACCTTTTCACAAACACTACCATAGACAAGAACAGACATCTAATGATCCATCCCGACATTCCTGACGTCCTTACCTGTTCGGCTGCCAGGTCCCCATTGGTTGTCTTGTCTCCTCTGATCTTTACTCCTTCCGCCACCTGTGAGAGTAAAACACAACAGGAGTCAGGTGTAGTCTGGTAGAACCAATGTTTACAGTACATGTGTACTCATACTCATAGTCACAGTATTATGTATTATGATATCTCCTGTTACTGACAGAACAGAACAACAAAATACATGTAGATTATATAATTGTTATCATATGTTTACAATCATACTACTAAGTACTGATTGTGCACTAGGCTATTCTCTACTATTGTTACGTTTCTAGGGATGGCTTGCCTTACACTGGACTTGATAGCCTCTACCAGGCTTTGGAAGAAGCTGGAAAGAGTAGAAATTTGCCAAATATGCAGTTAATTTGCCAGGGGGGTTGGTCTGCTAGTAAAGGTGTACCGGGGTGTGGTAAACTGTACCTGTTTAGCAGACCAACTCCCCTGGCATGATAACTGTCTATTTGGCCAATGCCTACTTTATCCAGCCGCTTCTGAAGCCTGGTAGAGGCTAACAACTTACCATGCCCCTTCAAAAGGAACGCAACATGCAGAAATGTGCAGAACAGGAGCTTGATTATTATAATTTTGTGGAATAACTCCTCTGGCATGTCATGTATCTATTGGCCAATGTCGACTTTTTCCAGCTGCTTCTGAAGCCTGGTAGAGGCTAACTGTAACTGTTCTGCACATTTCTACATGTTGCGTTTCTTTCAAAGAGCCATGGTGACTTGATAGTAGTCTCTACCAGACTAACTACGCTGGCTATATATAGGAGAATATTTGCCAGGGTAGTTTGGCCGCCTTGTAGGTTTGACTGGCCGCGCAGTTCGGAGGGAAAGAAATTACCTCCCCGCGGCCGGACTCTCTTGACCAATCTTACTATCTTTTTTGTCAAATTCTATGATCCGTATTCCTGTAGAAAGGCCTGGTAGAGGCTAAGTTGTTAACCTCTACCAGGTATTCAGGTTCAGCGGTGGGTCTGCTAATCATGGCTGCATACCAGCCAAGAAATTATGCATCACCCCACCCACTCCAGGGTAAACAGGTAAAGGTCAGGCTGATTTATTCACAGGTGTGTACAGACTCACACCATGACACATAGTGATGCATACCTAAACCCAATTTTAGGTTCAGGTCCGGATTCAAGTCCAGAGGTTTAGGTTCAGTCCGGACCTAAACCCATGGCATATTCAAAATTGCATGTTGGCAACCTTGCAATGTTGCCTGGGTGAAACTTTGGCCACATAACATGGAGGCCGGTACTTGACGATGCCCGATGACAATGTTTTCTTCATTTTGCAGCAAAGATTTTACAATCTACGGAAGGTTTTAGGTGGTTTGGAAAGAAAAGGGGTATGTGAAATGATCTTTTATGGTAATAAGTCCGGACTCGGTTCTTGACTTTTAGTTTTTTTTTTACTTGAACCTAAACATTCTTACAAGTCTGGATCCAAGTCCAGTGAACCGGTATGCATCACTAGTGACACATACATTATCTAGAACATGTCAGCTACAGGTAAGGCTCACCTCAGCTGACTTGTTGAATACATTGTATAACTATTATTTTCAAAGAAAACATGTACATTTACATCATGAGCATTAGGCTCCACCGCAAGATGGCCTTTTTGTCACCAGTAAATGGTGTTCAGTTCAAAGTCCTCACCTCACTATAACTAATGTCAGTCGCAATGTGCCATATTTGATTAGCCTTTGCATCTTTGAGATATAGAGTTGTAGCTATCTTTCAATCATAATCACTAGCATTGCGAACAAGGACATGGCTTGGTACAATCACAGGGACAGCCTTCAAGCAAGGACAGAGTGGAAGTTAAGATATCTGCCCTTTTTGGCACTGTTCATTTTGAACTGGAAATGATTTGAAACAAGGAGGTTGGAAATCTCATATCCTTGATTCAACAAGACGGCAAGTTTTGAAACCTAGACAGTAATGTATCATCCTTCTCTAAGTACGCTTACACAGGGGTTTCCGCTGTTTTCCCTTGGTGCTTACTGTAATTCTGGGCTGATCTCCAAGCACTTACACTTGGCACAGTTGGGGACAGACTTTGTATTCTACTGAAGAATGGCCACACATCAGATTAAGGAGTGATTTACACAATGGAATTCTTGTTCCGAAAAAAATGTCATTTCAGACTCATCAGAGGATTCAGTATGTCATGGTTAGGAGTCCAGTGAAACATTGATGCGTTCTCTGCCACTTTGTGTTTTGTCACGGTGTGTTCTGGCACTACCACTGTTTCCTACTGGGTAGGATTACGCCATGGTATTTTCCATTAGCAAATTGACTAGATTTGTTTGAACACTAGCGGGGCAAATTGGATAAGCAGTCCATCTTCTGACACATTCGAGATATAAAGTGTGGTCATAAATGCCATTCTCTGTCATGTCTAGGCAACAATGTGCAATCAACCTTACCAGGTTATAAAACTATACAGTGGAAGCCTGTCTGTCACTACCTCCAATTAAACTGGTGATAGGCAGGATGATCTAACGACAACAGCAATTAACTACATAGCCAGGATGTCATTCTGGTTAATTTTAGGTCAATCTAATAGTCATCTTTCCCAACAATTGAAGCAGACAACCTCACTAGGGCTGCATCCAAGCCT